CACTACAACAGAACCCAGCGGCTTAGCAACGGATTTTCGAGTGTGTGACTCCAGGGTTTCGAGCGTTTTGAGGGCTTCATCAGGTTTGGGGGCTTTACGGTATTGGGGTTTTGGGAATTTGGGTTGAGGGGTTCAAGGTTTGAGGTTTGTAGGGATTTTGGGCTATAGGGCTCACCTGTTCCAGCGCTTCAGTTTAAGTCAAAGGGTAGCAAGATGATCTGGCTTCCCCTGAGTATGCTGATCCCGATCACAGACCTGGGAAGAGTTACCTGCAGTACCACCTTATGATCCCTAGTGTAAGTATAGTACAACATAACTCCAAAAACAGATTCTAGCCATCACGGGCCTTACATCAACCAGGTTGACTTCGTCTCAAGACCCTCATCTAGCATCTGTTATCAGCATATAGGCGTTTAGAGTTTAGGGTTTCGGGCCGAGGTTGACCTCGAGCAAGTTTGGGCCTTGGGTCTTAAAGACCTTATTCGTTGCTTTGTTTGTGGAAGTGCTGCCTTTTTTGTGTTGTTGTGTGTGCGCATGTGCGGGAACGCGCTGTGCCTGTGAATGAAGGTTCAGGGCTGAGGGTTTGGGGCTAGGGTTGGAGGTGGACCCGTGGAAAGCCCCGTACCTTGTCAATTGTATATTATAGGAAGCTTTGTTGAAACCGCATAGAGTCTCCCAAGAGACCGCTTGTCCAGCATAGACCAATAAGGCACATAGTAACATAGTAACCAACCCTTCTAAGCCCTGAACCCGAACCCGTTAAGGCAGCCCGGGCTTCGGTTTTGGGCTCAGGGATGCCAGGCATGGCGCAGGAGTCATCCTCCACTTAACTAGTATGGTCGGTAATCTTTAACTTTTTTGGGGCTACTTCAATCCCTACATAAATCCCTATATAACTATATAATCCTGAAGGTTGACCTTTAGTTGCCCTAGGATACTGGACAAGTAGGTCATCCTCCATTTGAGCGTGCGACACTTCGTCGCTTGCACTCCCAAGTCCTAGCGAGCCGACAGAGAGTCATATTTTCGTGCAGATGTCTGCGCTCAAACAGCGCATGCAGTGTTCGACCTCATGACATACGCAGTTAGTTTCGATGTCGGGTCTGAAGTCTGGAGCGGAATTGAGCTTGATCGGCTGTCAGGTCAGAAGCTCAACCATAGTAATGCGTCGATTAGTGACACTGTTGCTGCATCACGACTCGTGAGTCTTTCTCAAGGTTTCCCCAGCCATAAAACTCAAAAACAAACAGGAAACTCCGCTGCGGCAGTTCAGCTTATTTAACGCTGCCTGCTTTTTGGGCAGGCCCACGAGAAGTCAGCCGAACGATTGCCTCCGCCGGCAGCCGACAGCAACGCTGCCGGAAAGGCAGTCGCAGCAGATGTCAGCCCTCCCCGTGAAGAGGCAGGCTCTAGTTCGGGTGGTTTATTGGGCTTTTGGGGTTTGGATTCATGGTTTTGGTGGGTGCATGCATGTGTTTACTTGTGGGGTTGTAGGGCGGTATACTTTACCAATTCGGAATGTTGAAAGATTTACTCACATGCACCATGTCAGTATGCAGGCATGCGTGCAGGTAGGTCCCCATGTCGATGACTTTGGTGCTATCTGCACGTAGTTCTCCAATGCCGAATCGAGATCTTTGAGTCGTTACGCGAAACAGGCCGTGGATTGAAACAGGATCAAGGGAACAGTGCTCCTTGCGATGAGCCGAACAAAATTCAGCACTTGGCTTCGAAGTGTCGGTATCCACTCCTCCCCACACCCAGATTCTAAATCCTGATTCGCGTAGACCCGGCAGCCCCTGCTCCCATGGTCAGGGCATGTCAGGTTTGGTAGGAGGCAGCATTTTTACCCAGGACTCGGGGATAAGTTGAGGCTTTCTGCCGGAGATACTGTTCTGCTCGCATCAAGTGCGGTGCTGGAGCTCCTGTTGCAAGAATATTCAAGTTTCAACACGGCAGCAGTTGCTCGAACAGAAACAAGACGGCAGGAACTTTAGCTTTGTATCATAGCTGCAAATGGCATTAGGGACGTGGGCACCACACTACCCTCCTCACCTCAGCAGTGGAACGCTAAAGATAAAAAAGGTCTGGACGAGTAATTAGAAATGCTAATTATCCCCTTTGTCGCGCCAGTAGAGCCAGATCTAAATTGTAGGTGCCCCATAGCCTCATTCTAGCAGTTATCAAAAGCCCAACATTGTAGGGACTTGTTCTACTTATCACTGGTCTTCGGTTGACTCTAGGTAGACTGGCAGACTTTCCAGAGGATGCGGAGCTGAGGATTTGTTGGCTGACAGGCGAGCACAGAATTCGGAAATTACGATGACGATGCAGGAACTTCTGAAAAAAAGGGCACCTTGACGCCCAGCACCCTCGTTTCATGGTTCAGGGGTCTAGGGGCCTTTGTGGGGCTCAGTACAGGGTTTAGAGAGTTCAATTTTAAAATTAGGCAAAGCCTGTAGGCGTCTACAAGGCATGAATCTCTGAGCCAGAAGAGCGTCACAGGTGCCTGGTCCGGTCGAAGCGCTCTCCATCGACGAGGAGGCCAAACCCGGGGTCTCGAATATAATGATTTCAACATAATGAACAATTCAATATAATAACTACAATATATTAACTACAAAATAATAAACAATTCAATATAATAACTACAATAAATTAACTACAAAATAATAAACACCAAAATCTTGGATCAGAACGTTCTCACTAGCAAGATCGCAATGATGCTCGCTGGCTGAAGCGTAAGCCTTGACAGTCGCTGCCCGTCCATGAGTTTAGGTCCGGGGCCCCCGCTGCGAACTTGGTCGGTCGGTTTGTTTGTTGGTAGGGGAGGAGGGTGGGAGGGTTGGCTGGCGGGTTGGTTCTTATTACTGTGTTCATCATTATTGTTGTTTGGTCTTGCTGTTGAATGAGCAGCCGCGGGCAGTAGAGTCATTGTGTCCTGACAGCGGTGTGGGGGTTCAGGGCGTAGGATGCCAGGTCGTGCAACTCAGCGCCCACAAAGCTGAGTCCGAAATTCCACATTTCAACAACATGTATGCAATTGCTTACTTATCAGAGTTATCAGAGCTATGACTTTGTCAAACCATCCCTAAACCCTAATCCCTAAACGCTAAACAACAGCCACATGTGCTCGTCTTCGCACCTGGATCAGGGTCGCCTGCATTGTCCGAGTTGAGAGAGTCCAAACCCTAATCCCCAAATCCTATAATTACGATTCTGACCCTAAACCTGCAATGCGGGCTCGTCCTTACTGGGTGGGAGGGAGGGAGAATAATCCTATATACCCCCAGCCCTACACCCTAAGCCCTCCATCACCATCCGTAGCCGCAATATCTTTCCGAGAGCCCTGGAAGATCCGAAGCTGGTGCCGACCCTGAGCCCCACCGATGTCATAGGGCCACCATAGGGCCAGAAGGGGTTTAGGGGTTGTGGATGGAATAGCTATTAGAAGGGTTTAGGTAGGGTTTGGGAGTTTAGGATTCTAGTGGCTACTTCTCGGGTTGAGGTTTAGGGCTACAAGCGCGATGATGAGGATTTAAGGCGTCCGAAGCATTGGTTCAACCATGAGGCTTAAGAGCTTTGAGAGCCCTGAGGTGCATCTTTGCGAACCTCCTGCGAAAGTTCGGAAGGGCCTGTACAAGGTAGATGTGGAGGCCAGTCTAGACAGTTGAGGTGCTTGGCATTTTGCGCTCTGCGGGCAGTGTTTCGGAGACGAGCTAATTAGAGCAATGCAGCATAGTATGCTGGTATCATAAACCCTAAACCCCTAATGAAGCAGCAATTGGAGCCGCTTCGCAGCCGGCTCGTCCCGCCCCTGAGGAATACCAAGGCTCTGCCATATACTGAGTATCAAAGTTGGTAATTTGGAGCACTATACTCCCTGCAGATTCCAAAGGTTAACCTTCAGCTGCCCTAGGATACTGGCAAATGAGGTTGGCGGTTGCAAGACCCTGCATATTGTAAAGTCTGTAGGTTTTGGTGTTGAACTCTTGATTGGGCTTTTCGGGGATATCGGAATCGACACCTTAGCTGCACCCTGAGCGGGCCTCTATAGAGGCAGCGTGATGCAACGCCACGGAGTTGAACATTCTTAAGCTCCCTTTCCAATAAAGTTTTGACTCTTTATGCAAGGATATTATCACTAGTGTTACTAAAGCTGTTCATCTGCTTCTTGTCGCTACACGCTCGGAGCCTAAGCCTCCAGACCCTGGTACCTTTACGACACGATGCGATGCAGGTATTGAAATATGTCAGGCATTCGGGCTGGGGCCTTTGGGCGTTGGTGTTCAAGGCTCAGGGATCAGGGTTTATTGGGTTCAAGGTTGGTGGGTTCAAGGTTTGGACTTGGGGATTTTATGGTTTAGGGTTTAGGGTTTGAGGTTTTGTGGACTTATAGGGTCTCGGGCCAAGGCCTCGTAGCCTTTAGCCTCCTCAACCTTAAGGCCCAAGCATCCCGCAGACTCGCCTTCAACCCGAGAGTGTGCTTAAAGTTGAGGGCGCTGGATCCGACTGTTACATGCTGAGCTGAAGACGCCAGTAAACTTTATACCCCCCGGGCCCCAGCATGAGGGCGATTTGTGCAAAAGCAGCCCCGAAGCCGAGTACTATCCGCCAGCCCCAAACCTACTTGGACCCGAAAGAATTTATTTATCCCGGGACTTCTACAAGGAAATCAGAGAAAGACGCCCCAAAAAGGCCAACTTAACCCGTTACATTCAAAAAGTCCCATCCGGAGTCCAACACGTTCGACTCGACACCCAAGCCACCACTAAAACCCAGTTGCAACCGTAGGCAACTTGAAAACCCGGAGCCCAAGAACACAGAAGCAGGTAAGCTAACGAGCCGAGGCCATCATCCTGACTAAGCCGTAAGCTCTCAACCCTAAAGCCTGAACCTATGGGAGGCCAGAGAGCGATTGCCGATGAACCCTTAACCCTAAACCCTAAACCCTAAGCCTATCTTGGACGGAGCTTCGGGAGGCCATAGAGCGATTGCCGATGAAGTCGCAGCTCGTTGCATTAGGCCTGTTGTCCGAGGACGAGGACGCAACGGTGGTTGGTCGATTTAGGGTTGAGGGCTCAGGGCTTATAGGGTTTAGGGTGTAGGGTTTAGGGTTGAGGGCTTAGGGCCTATGGGGCTTATAAGTCTTGTATTGAGGTTACACGCGGTTTACGTAGGGTCTGGGGCTGAAGGGCTTTAGGAACTTTAGGGGTTATAGGGTCTTTGGGGGGTATGTAGGATTTCTAGTGTTGAGGGGATGTTTGAGGTTTGAGGTTGCTTGTGATGGTAACATTCGTCAGCCTTAAGCATAGAGAGCCTTCTACATGGAGAACTGGCTGAATTTGGTGTTCAGAGCCATGGACACGGCCTCAATCCCCCATGCCTCTATACGGAGCAATGTTGGTGGATGCATCTGCGATAGCTACAACTGTATCTTTTGCTTTAAGAAAGAGGGGTCGGCCTCTTGCCGATGCTCTCGCCGAGGTCCGATACACGTAACTGCTTCGTCAAGGTTGTCACGCCGCAGCTTTCGATAAGATCTTGGTCTGAAAATGGATGATGCCGCACCGGGCGTGGCTTTCTTGTCTGAACTCTGCGGAGCTACTATGGACAGTCGATCGCCTGTCAGCGCACCTCCAATCTGGAGGTTTAGAATGTATATGTATTATAGGGTTTCCTGGCCGGGCGAGCTCCAACCAAGCCTGTGTAAAAAGGGGTGGAACATCACAGGTACCGGACATTACAGGAGAGCTGAAAACCGTGCTCTAGCTATCAGGTGATGCCAGCTGAGGGAACTGCAGCTTTTGTATTCGCGTACTTGAGCCTGAGTTTAGTCATTCACTCCACAACCTTCTCCATGTTTGGGGTGAAGCGACGGTCGGACAGGAGATGTCCGATGACGAAAATGCAGCGAGCAGCACGCCCAAGGAGCAAAGACTTTTTGGCTGAGCCACATAAGGCGAGCTAGCACGGGTGAAATTGGCGTAGACTCTGAAATAAAGCTCTTAGCCCCGCGGAGTAAGCAGACCCCCTTTCGTATCTTTTGCGAGAGGTGGAGGGGATTCGATTGCGTGATGGTGAGTCAAGGGTTCAGGGCAGTTGTGGGTTTCCGCGGTGTAGGATTGAGGGTTGAGGGTTATTGCACACTACAAGATGGCTATCCTTGGGTCCAAACAGAATTGGAATAAGGCAATCAATTAATACTCGGATTGTGGATCATGGTAATGTAGGTTAGTATGGTACGTATGATGAAAATGACCAGGCACTTGGAATTCGCTGCTGCTGTTGCTGTGGTTGTTGTTGTTGTTGTTGTTGTTGGTGGTGGTGGTGGTGGTGTGTTAACGATGTTGTTGTTGTTGTTGTTGTTGGTGGTGGTGGTGGTGGTAGTAGTGGTGTGTTAACGATCTGAATGGCTGATGCGCTGTTCTTTCAGCCAGCGCATTGGTCGCCTCGTCCCAGCAACCTCGCTCAGGCATGTCCGAGTGTGAGTAGTGAAACCCTTACCGGGATTGGGAGTTCCCTTCCAGCTTTGTGCGTTTTGGCTGAAGGGAGGCTTAGACAGGAGATTCCCGACAATGGCGTCGTGGAGACGAACGAGTCGAAGGAGCCAAGTTCTGAACAGTCAGGAGCAGGTTGTTCTAAGGCGATCAGACAGTCAGTGCTAAACCGTGACAAAACCTTCTTTGCAAGCCTCCGTCGTCCAGAAGGCAGGGGCGACCCACAAAATGCTACTTGGAACCCAAGCGTTCAAACCCAAAATATGGGATGGGAACAACGACTGCAGGGTTTTCGGTTTCAGGCACAGCGTAGCTATGCGGTTCATGCATAAACACCTGGAAGAACTCTTACGGTTTGTTTGACTATGCTTCACTCACTTCTTTCGCAATCCCTGCTTACTGTTGCCTTCGCCTTTATCGCTGGTTGCTGGTGATATGGCTGTTGCTGTTGTCGTTTGTTGTGGGCAAGGTCGTGAGCGTCGTCCTCGTCGTCGTCGTCGTCGACACTATCGTGCTCCTCCCTTCAGTTGCTGTTGTTGGTGGTTTCTTTGTCTTGTGTGGGCTTAGATGGAATCGTCGTACAGAGGCTTCAGATCCGTGGCCGTGAAACCGTCTGAAATAGAGAATGGGATGTCCTCCACATTGTCCTGTGCCGGCCTTCCACGGCAAGGTCTCATTACAGTGCCATTACGGTGATGGATGCTTGTTTGTGGATTTCATCCCCAGCTTTCTTGTGGGCTGGAAAGGAGAGGCTTGTCGAGGGTATGCCCGACGAGAGAGACCTCGAGACGAGCGCCCCGAAGGAGCCAAAGTGTTTCGAGGAATCATGTGCAGGTTCATCTAGATGTTCGTTCTAGATAGTTTTCTCTTTTCAGGCCTCTGTTCCAGCAATGGTCCTGCCATGAAAGGGTCCGTAAAAAGTGCTAAGGCGCACCGAAGAGGTCCCGCACAATATAGAGGTCAGAAAAACTACCTATTGTATACCCCCAAACGTCCGCACTTTTAACTCTATGATATGACATACCCCTAGATCACAGAACCTTCATCATTGCCCAATGCTACTTGCAAAGGCCCTGAGATTAAGGGAGAGGGTGTAAGGCATGAGCCGCGTTTTACCCGGATCCTGGTGGCTTTAGAGTTTAGGGTCTACGGGCTTTAGGGACTTCAAGGCACCCTCCGTCTATGGCCTAAGGCTCTAGATGGGGGAGGGTGCTGAGAATGACCGAGAGACAGGGATGAGAGAGAGAGAGAGAGAGAAAAAAACAAATGACACAGATCAGGGCCACGATTCCGAGGCTTGCCATTTACGGGGTTTAGGGTTTAGGGACTTCAGAGAGACCTTGTTCAAAAAGGGTTTAGGGTTTAGGGTCTGGGGGCAGAGTCTGGGTTCAAAACATTGAGGGCCGCCGCCTGAACCCGCTCGACGCTGTTCGGGGCCCTGCTGCTGCTCAGCGGCCACCCGACCTCCAGACCGAGGGGGGCAAAATTCTTTCTGGTGTCACACGAACCCTAAAGCCTAAACCCAGAGGGAAAGATTGCCTTGAATCCTATAACCCTAATCCGAATTCCGAAAACCCTAAAACCAACCCTGATTCTTGAACTCCGGTTTGCCCATGGGGTTTCCTTGGTTGCTTTTGAGAGGATTTGTGCCGGCCGCTCGCCGAGTGCGAGGACATGGAGATTGTCTCCAATGCCAGCGATGAGGCACTGTGAGTTGCTTGGCAAGCTGTATAGGCGCAACGGTGCAACAGGCTTGTCTTCGGAAGCGTTAGGTGCTGTTAGTTGACGGTTGAGAGAGTGGTATTTGTCTTTGTGTCATCAATCAGCCCTACATCCGGTTTAGGTGTAGGCAAAACAGTGCCGACGGTGTCGGCACCCAGGATTTTGAGGGGTGCTGGTGTGGTTCAGAGAACACTATCGTTGTGGCACAAGATGATGGCACAAGTCTCCAGGTGGTCTTTGCAAGGGAGAATCTGCGAAATGTGGATGCATAGCATCCGGTAGGCTTTTGGGTGCCTCTAAAATGGAAACCCTAAACCGTAAACCTGAACCGACTTAACCTGCACCAACCTGGTTCGCGACAGCACAGGGCGGTTGACGGTCGAGGCATCTTGTCGATTTCCCTGAACCCTAATCGCTGTTAGGTTTAGAGCTTTGGGTTCAGGGTTTTCGGGTTTGGCCTAGGGTCAGTTGTGATATTTTTGTAATTTGGATTTGGGGCCTAGAGCCCTCCAGATACCGGCGACAACTGCAAGTCCCTGCAGGGTACACTGGAAAGTTAAAGCCTGGGTTTAGGGCTTATAGGCTTTAGGGTTGGAGAGGACTTGTTTGCGGAAGGGCACTGTCATGTTCCAGATGAATTCGGGTTTCAGATGAAGCGCTCTATGGAGCTGAGGTTTCTGGAGTTAAAGAACCTAAGTTCTGATGAGGTGCCGCTTTTCGATGCGTCGTCACAGGAGCCAGAACGTTATGCAGATCCTTGGCTATTCCCTGATCAATGGACATCTCGATGTCGGAGAATGGATGACTACTTGCTGCTTGCTTCTCCCAGTTAGTTCCAAAACAGCTCTGGACTCCAGGCTCCAGGATTTTTTCGACGCGAATGACCGGCGGCTGCGTCCGCTCTGGACATCAGATCCTCGCTTCTCAGGAATTCCTGTTCACGCTTATGGAATGAGCAGCAGGGCCTGCAGTACCAAAGGAACTACCCAGTAGCGACCTAGACTGTGCTAAAATAAATACGTTCCTCTTAAACGCCTCTGCGCAGAATAACGTCGCAAACGAGGACACAAAGAGATCAGGCCGTAATTGCCTGGCTCCCAAGCCCCAAAAACCCTAAATCCCTAAACTCGAATGAGAAGGAAAAACCCTAAGCCCCTAAGCCCTACATAAACCCAGAGGGGGAAAACAACGCTAAACCCTTAAAAAACCCCGAACCTCTGCAGCTCCGATTTCCAAACCGCATGGTTTTCCCCGATAAAAAAGGCTGCAAAATTGAAAAACGAGGTTAATTGGAGCTCAATCGCTCAGCAGCGCAGGGTTCGAGGAACAAAGTCGCGTGAATGGCACTCTGCAGCAGTGGCAACAACTTCTAAGCCAAAGCAGAGCCTAATCCCAAAACCCTTGGGAACTCCCATGTCCCTGCTCCCCCAGCATCTCTCAAAGGAGCTCACCCTGAACCCCCTAGAGGCCCTAAAGACCCCTATAAAGCCTAAGTAAACCCTATAAACTTATAAACCCTAAAACCCCCCACAAGACCTCTAAGCCTCTAAAAATTATAACGAACCTTTATAAACCCGCACCCCACAGAGAGAGCACTCCGCCCGCAGGGAGTGGAGATCCCCTGGTCGCCCGAAGAGGAATCCGAGGAGCAGGTGCAGCGGAGGGGCAGCTTTTAGGATTTCATAGGGCTTGAAGTAAGGTTTAGGATTTAGGGTTCGTATACGGCTTAGAATGAGGGTTAGGATTTGTACGGCTTAAGATAACCCGATGGGTCCAAGAAATCCGTATTTATGGGTGTTTTTTTGGTACCCAAAGCCTACAATGGAAAGGTACTTGGGCCCTTTAGGAACTTAGCGTTTAGGGCTTAGGGCAAAGTTTAGGGTTTCGGAGGCTCGCACCACAAAGCCCTTTCAATTTCCAACGGTGGTCTTGGCAGACAATGTGAAAAGCCTTGGGTTTGTGATGGTTACAACGTAGATATGCAATGGCAAACTCAGCACACAGATTCAGGGCATATGCAGATGGGAGGAATGTGCACGTTTCTTTTTCTGCTGGTTGCAAATCTTTGATTTGGAGGCAGTCAACTTCAGTACCACAACCCAGGGTGGTTCAGGCATCCTTCGGAGATAAAGCTTACAGGGTTGATTGACACACGATTTGCGATTTTTACTACTCCACCACCTCTAAGTTAAACTCTGTGCTCTCGACACAGGAGGCTTTTGCCGGATAGGACCTCGTCTTCTCCTAGCCCTGTGTTGGCTAAGAGACTGAAGCCTGTTGGAAGACATCTGGGGCGAGCCAGGAGTTTGCCCACATGGTTGGCTTATTCGGGCCTCACAACCATATCCCTGGGGCTCCAAATAGCCCCAAGTAGGTCCTATTTATAGACTTTAGGCCCAAAGTAGGTACCATTTGCATGCTTGGAGCCCTTGGGTATGGGCATCCTTAAGAAGTCCGTGAAAGCCCAACTCAGAAGCTGCCAAAAGATGAGCCCGTAACGTCTTACGCCACCCAAGCCGGTAGATGCCACAACACATTCCGGGTCTAGGAATCTTAAGGCTCTTCCCGGAGAGCCAGCACCGACAGAACACGCCTACTTGACCTTTGATATACCATGACAGGCTATGATAGGTTCTGATAGACCTATAGTCTCCATTGCAGTTCCTTTTTTGGTTTAACCAATTCTATAATAAGGATCCTAGAAGGTAACCCCAAAACGGGACTACAATGGAGACTATAGGTACCATATTATGACTTAAAGTGGGACCCTTGGTTCTATGCCACCCTCAACCCTAAACCCTAAACCCTAAGCAAAAAAAGCCCTCAGCCCTAAACCCTGTGCCCTAAGCCCTAAGCCCTAAACCCTAAACCCTAAGCCCTAAACCCTATGCCCTAAACCCTAAGCCCTAAACCCTAAGCTCTAAGCCCTAAGCCCTAAACTCTAAGCTCTAAGCCCGAAGCCCCGGGCCATGGCAGGTGTCCGAGACAAAGGTTGCCGAGGCTCCAGGCGAAGATTCGTCGGCCGTCGCCCCGGTTTATGGAGGGTTTAGGGTTGAGGAAACAAAGGGTTTAGGGTTTAGGGTTGAGGGTTTAAGGATCATAAAGGGCTCCTTGGCAGGGATCCTTAAATTTTTGGGGCTTAGGGGTGTGGGGGGCGCATGGCAGGCCGTAGGAAAGCTGTAGATTCTTGGGGTTTTACTTGGGAGGGCTTCCTTGGTCGACAGCCTATATAAGCCCTAAGCCCTAAACTTCTGTATCTTTATAGCTTGTTGCCCGCACTTGGATTTCGAAGCCATGCCCAAGGGAACAGCTTGGTGCTTTCGAGTTGAGCAATAGTGGGGCACTTCTGGTTTTTCTCTAAGTGGGTATGTTCGGGCTGGGACGGGGCTCTTCTGCTTGATTCGGATATGGCAGTGAATCCAGACGCGGCTGTGCTCTCTGTGTCTTCTGTCGACTGTCGAAGTTGGTCGCGGGCTGTTTTGCTTCGGAGAGTGTAGCTTGCCTTGGTGTTTACGCTCGTCTTCCCTGCGGTGCGACTTTGTCAGCTGGGCCGGTGGGCAAAACGCCCTGGCCCCAAACTGCATACACGTCCCAAACCCCAAATCGCCTGCCACCCCTGAACCGTAAAGGCTTGAACCACAGACCTTTGGGATGTGTGGGAAGACCCGAGTGTCCGATTCAGCAAAGAGACGGCGAGCCATGCTTTAGGGTGGTCCCGGAGGCTGCACGAACTCATGTGCACACTGGTTGCCAAGGTTGTTGTCCCTTTTGTCACAATCCGTGCCGTCAACCGGCGATTGCTGCTTGTGGAGCTGAAGCTTGTCTTGAGTCGCTTCGTAGTCACCTACTCGGGTTTCCTGGGCTGTAATGTGGCCTGGCGGATTTCATGCCTCGTGATGCACGAGTCATCGCCGCGTCGGACAACTGGGGGGGACTTCTGAGAGACCTCGTTCCAAAAGGGGTTGGGGTTTAGGGTACAGGGGTCCCGAATAGAGAGATCAGTATAGTATAACTGTATAACCCTTAAGAAAGGCCATAGAAAGGCCCCTCATTAAGGATACCGAGTGAAGTTATGGCTTACGAGGTCGAGTTTCAGATGTCCCAGGAGTGCCAAAATCAGGGATAGACATAAATATATGAGTCGGTTTGGAATAGGAACTGGAAATGCAACTCAACACAGGACACTCCACAGACCCTCTCTAAGTCTCCAGTCTTGAGCCCGCAGTTAGACCGCAAAACCCCCTAAACCCTAAACCCCTGAGCCCCAGGCCGTCGGAAGAGAGCTGCTCGGGAGGCCTTCCCCACGCAAGGACACTCACGCCTCAACCCTGCAAATGAGCAGCCCGTGAGGTCTGCGAAGATGAACAAAGGTAAAGCGTTCCGACATGCACGGGGTTCAGGGAGATTCCGAATTTAGCGACGAGGATAACCGCATTGGTTGCCAAATGAAATTCGATGAATAGACTGAGACTGCATGGACTCCCCTTCGACTGCATGGACTCTACTCCGATGGTAGCATGCATGACAATGGATGCCTCAGTACAGCAAGGGGTTCCTCTGCGGCGTGACCTTCTGCATGAGGGCACTGACGAGACCACATGAGAGCACCCAAGTCCTAGTTTAGGGCTGGAGCAGATAGCAAACGGTCACTTACTGAGGGAGAAAGTACTATACCTTTGCTTGTTACCATGCTGATATTCTTCTGAAGGCGTGTGTATCTGATTTAGCTGGGAAACTAAAGCGCTCTCCATAGGTAAAACAAAGACTGCCGTGCAGGTGTGGTGTTCAACTAAGCTTGTTGAGGTTACCAGTTGCATTCCACACCTGTCCTTGTTCTTATTGCGTAGATCATCATCGCAACCAGGAGAAAACTTGTAGTTTCACCAAACCCTGGAGCATTCAAACAAGTTGATTGCTTCGGGAACTCTTTGAGCATTTTGCTATGAACATAGTAGTGCTGAGGGCGACTGAGGGCCTCGAAAGGAGACCAATCAACTTCGACCTTGAACGACTGGGCCCCGGGGCTCCTGATTAATTTACACTACTGTTTTTTATGGCTATAACTGCTAATAATAATAATTGTTAGTACTATTACTATTATTATCATTATTATTACTAGTATTTAGCTTTGGAAGTGTTGAAGCAGCTTGCGCCTGGGACCGATCGCTTGAGACTGTTGTAGTTTCGACAAGCGGGGGCCGACGATCCTCCCTTCCGCCATTGCTCGAGTCGCAGGAGTCCAAACATCCCTAAACAGTCCGGGATGGCACATCGAAGCACATCGAAGCCCTGGAGCCTGCAGCCTCAACCCGCACATCTTGCCTCCCACGCCCCAAACCTGCGACAAGATGCTAAACCCACAGCCTGGGCCTCAGATATTGCTATGCAAAAGCCAACTCAAACTGCAACTTCGATTCCGAATCCTGATAAACCAGTTTAGAACCCTGGTCTTGCAGGACACGTCGCTCCCTGCAGTTGTTCCAAAAGCGGCAGCCGTCTCCGTAACGCAGGAGATCCCGAACACAAGTGTGTATGTTTCGGGTTCAGGATTTATATTTTGCAGGTCGTTGTTCGGTGCCGGCTTCGTCTTGCAACATGCGCAGAGGGCACAGGACAGTTCAGGGCGGTACAGCTTCTATGCTCCTTGCTAGTTGGTTCGGTTTTGCTGACCTTTTCCAGGGGGTTCTATGATCAGGACTCTACCAAAAAGGGTAACAGACAAGAACAACAACAGTGAAGACTGTGTGCAAGATGTTTGTCGGGAGGTTCCGACGTTTAGGCTGTCGGTGGAGATAACAGCAACGACCCCCGCAGCATGACTTCAGAGCCCTTGTTCACGGTCTCGGTTTTACGGGCTAACACATGTTAGGGCTCAAGCCCCAAGCCCCGAACATTACGCTTCAGGGTTGACAACTTGAAGCTTTGCGATGCTGGTGGTTTATGCAGTCTGAGAGTCTTTGTCGTGTCTTGAAACCCTAAACCCAGAACCCCAAACTTCAAACTTCAACCCTCAACGAAACCCTGCCTCCAGCGCAAGGAGACATCGCAGTTGGCAGCTCCGCTACGCAAGGCTTGGGATTCAGAGCCGGGTTTCGCTCCTCGCTTTGAGGGCGGACTTCGTGAGTTTGGGATTTGATTATAGTATTTGACTAAATACAAGGTTGTCATTGCAAGTTGTCATTCTAGTCACTACATGTTATTCCGGCTTCATTGTTAGCTAATTTCTATTGACATGTTTCAGATTATCAACAACAATTCTGGAATTATTTCCATTGTTAGAAGAACAGCACGATGTTGATGCTAGCATGTTGGGTTTATAAACCTTAATTCAAGGTGGCCGGTTTGATGACTCATGCGTATGTTCTCAAGCCTTAAGGCTCTGAAGCCCGACAAATCAGAGGCCAAGAGAATGGTTCATTGCCTTGTCCAGTAACTTTGGGAAGCCCTTTTGAAACCGTTCATGTTTTTTTTTCAAGTTTCAGGAAGCCTTTGAGAAAACCTTTTGCGCAGTAAACCCTGCACGCACTAATTATAACCCCTGCTCTGAAGGCAATCTTCGCGCCGTGTTGGTTTGTTAGTCTTTACCTGCACTAACCTGCCACAAACTATTGTTTGCTGGATCCCTATGATTTCAATGTCAATGGTGTCCATTCAGACCCATCGTGAAGGTCTATATACTCTAAACTGGCCAAAAGCCGTTAAGCATTGAGCTGCGGACAGGGGCGCTTGCGAAAGCTGATCGTGTGTGCCTCAGGTTTCTGTCGTGGCCAGGCATTGTATACACGGAGCTCTCTAAACTCGGAACCTAAAGAAGTTTACTAATATACTCCGAGACTCATCGTCGACCCTCTATCAGATTTGGGACCATACCCCCCCCCCCCCCCCC